CGCAGATTGACATACCTAAGGGGGATAGGAAAATTCGGCAAGGCGGCCGGTGAAATATTGGCACTTTGTGAAGGACCTTATGTTACTTGTTTTCGATTTTGAGAGAGTGATCAACGTCATCCCTTAGGATGTCTGAACGCAGGATGCGGGCCAGTTCCAATGCATCTCCCCTGCCAGGGGCTGCGCAAACAAAACATTCCGTAGAGGGGCAAGAAAGCCTGTGTCCTGTATGGGGTGCTCGATGGCTTGACGACCCGCCAGGAGCATCATTTTCAAGCAATGGCAGATCATGGGCCTCCATGTGGATGTAGACACGCCGATCCCTGTGGCAGAGGACCTCGTTCCAATATATGACAAGTGGCTGGAGCGCGTTAAAAACACCGTGCCGGCAGACAGGCTGCTCATTCACCAGGCGGGGCATGGAATGACACCTGTTTGGGCTAGCGTCGGCCCTTGGAAGGTGACGCGTTGCTGTGACGCTTGATTCCTCTTGACTCTTACTTAACCCCGGTTTACCGCTGGACACTTCAACCTTTCGTGTTTGTTTGGGCCTCCCACTGCTCTATGCCCGCATGTTCAACAGTCTTATGTTGCCGCCGATGCTGCTGCTGCTGTTTTCCTGCTGCTACTGCTGCCGCTGTTTGATGATGATGATGATGATGATGACGATGACGATGACGATGACGATGACGATGATGATGCTGATGCTGATGCTGATGCTGACGCTGATGCTGATGCTGATGCTGATGCTGATGCTGATGATGGCGAGGGCGATGATGCTGTGCTGCTGCCGGTGGTACGCATCATGATGATCATGACGAGTTGCAGCCAGTGGCTGGCCGCTGGTTTGCTGCATGGAAAGGGCCGTTTGTTACGTGTTTACCCGCTGCTGATTGTTGCCGCGGGTGTTGCTGCGGTCCTCTGGAATAGCTCGACAGCTTTCCGCTGCTATATGGGGATCCTTTTGGTTGGTTCTGTCCAAGATTTGGGAGAGGCCCGCGGCAATCCTTGCACTTGCTCCCCAAGCTTCAAAGCCTTAAAAGCTTGTTCAGTGGCCTCAGAGTGATGCGCAAAGTTGTTTCGTAGCAAGGGAGGCCTCTCTTGGCTGGTTTTGAAGGGAAACCAAAAGGCAACCAACAGCCTGTCTTTCAAGATCTCGTTTGCTAGGAAGAGGCCCCAGCAATCTTGGTTCCTATGTTTGGTTCCGTGGAGTTAAAGCAGCTCAAAGCCCCCCATGTCCGGGTTTTGAGAGCAAGACAAACAATCTGCGCACACAAGATACAACTTCAGATTTTCAGAGTGCCCCCCCATTTGCGAGTGAGTACCATGAAATGCAAAAGTAGGTGCGTTCGTGTGCACATACATGCATTCGTTTACACATATCGTTTTTGTTGTTTCTGGCATTATCATTATAGTTGTTTCCCTATATGCATATATATATATATATGCTTGTCACTCACTCTTTGCGCATGCCGTTTCTGAGGCCAAGGATGGCTATGAGCCGCTCTGCAAATTCCTGGAGATTCCGCCAGAGAAGTGCCCGAAGGAGCCCTATCCTAAAATCAACTCGAGCGACAGCCTCACCAAGCACAAGCTCGCGCTCAAAGTCTGGATGCCGCTCAGTCCAGTGGGTGGGTTTGCTGCAGGTTGCGCCCCAAAACCAGAGAGGCCAGGAACCCGAAAGCAGACATGTGCAAAGGAACTCCCACGAAAAACATTCCCAACAACATTGCTAGAAAGACACCCTAGGAGATATTCACCAAACATACGCCTCAACACATGTCCAAAAGATGATTTTTCCTAAGACATGGTGACAAGCGCCCCCAAAGCCAACCCATGAAAGATATCTCGCAAGACATCCCTAAGATGTTCCTCCAGGAAGCTCTCCAAGCCATCCCCAAAGACATCACCGCAAACAACCACTTTCCAAAGGCACCCGCAAAGTCCCACCCAAAGATATCAGCCAAGACAACCGTGAAGACATTGTCCAAAGACAATCCCCCAAGACAACCCAGCGCAGACATCTCCCAAGACACCTTCCAAAGACATTCCAAGACCAGAGACTTGACTCAAGACAACCGCGGCGAAGACATGCCCCAAAGACATGCCCCCAAGTCGCCTTCACCCCCTGACATCATCCAAGACAGCCCAATCTGCATTCAGGCCCAATGCTGCGCCTGCCATGCAATCTGCTCAAAAAGCTCTAATGTGCGGCGGCTGTCACGAAAAGTTAGCTTGCGACGAATCAAAGCACACTCAAAGTGATGCGCCTGCCACGAAATCCAACTTTGATACATTTACCACTGCGCATCCCAAATTGGCACCTGACTATGGCACCAGAATGATTTCAACCGATTTTGACACATGTTAAGATCACCTGCACGACAGGGCCCCGCGTATTCCAAGCAAGCCACCTGCGAGAAAGCATTTGAGGGTCCTCAACAAATCGGGCCTTCTTTTGGACTTTCATTGGAACAGCCCTATTTTTTTGCTTGGTTCCTTGTTGGGCGCTTGTTTTGTTTTGTAGGCGGGCAAAAGAGAAGCTGCCGGGAAATGTAACGTTGCTTTGAAGGTCGTGTACCCACGTTAGGATTTTGTTATAAGGCGCCATATGGCCGGACGCTTCCCCCTTTGGTATGTGTCAAAATAGGTGACCGCCCAAAAGGGTGTGTTTCCGTTTAGTTTCCCGTCAAATCAACCCCAAACAAGGTACCCTCACACACACACACACATTCTCAGCCAGGGTCAAGCAGCAAACAAAGGCAACCCTGTTTGCCAATTGTTTTGCAGTAATTAGTGTTGGAACCGCGTGTTGTAGCTCAAGAGATCTCGTTTGGGTAGCCTTAGCTTCTCCAGCAACTTCCTTGCACCCCGTATGGACCCTTGAGAAGCCCAGCATGTCACTGAGGTGGTTCTGGTTCCCCGTTGCTTCGATCATCTTCCTTGGCCCCTTCTACTGCTGCTATCGCTGCTGCTGCAAAGGCAAGAAGAAAACGGCCTGAAAGATGATAGCAGTGCCCGTAGATGGGCAAAAGCACCGAACTTGTGAGGGTGCTTAATTTTGACGGGGCGCGGATGCTGGTCAGCTTTTATAAGCGCGGGCCAATTTGGCGCGATCGCTTTTTTGGAGACAACAGCTCTCAAGGTCGTTGGGCCTTTAGCATGTGAGGCTCAGGTAGTCAATACTGTCAGGCGAGGCACCTTGTGGCAGCTTCCTGGTATTCCTTCAGTGAAATGAGTTGAATAATTAGGTAGTGCCACTTGGACTTCATGCCTGAGGAGACCCACGCCAAAGCCATGAAATGTAAAGAGTCGGCAGCGTGAAAACAATCCTGGCGTTTTCGGGGATGTGGTGGATTTTACCAAGCTGCACATGTCCTAGTGCAGCGTTGCAGCGCATGTCCAGGAGCCTTTTGGCCTTTTGGTGCTTTCACCACCTCAGCCACGGAGGGCCATGAAAGCGGTGCATTTGTTTGGCTCAAGGCGCCGCGGCACCATCCTTCCACAGGAGAGCGGCCGGCCCGGCCGGAAGAAGCAGCCCAGCGTTGAAAGCACATTCCTTTGGCGCGATGTACTCAACGCAGACTGAGATCACCAGGAAACCGGCTCAAGGTGGATATGGTGTTTGAACATCCATTCCGGAGGCTTGGTACTTGCGGCGGATGTGGCTTTAGCGGATTGGGTGCAGCACTGGGCGACTGATCGAGCAAGGCGGGGCGATTTAATTGGTGCATGCCGAACCGCCCTGTCCAAGTTCCATGATCGCCGCCACCCCCCCGGGTCCGCATCCAAGGGGCTCCTGTTTATAGAATGTCCATTGCTTCCTGTGGACAAATGCTGAAATGTGCAAATGGGGGGCGCCGATGCCGCGAACCTCTCGTAAGTCCAATGTCTCTCAAGTGGATGTCCCGTTTTATAGAAGGAATTGGCCTTGCGCTATTCTTTTTCACAAACGGGTAGGTCGAAATGAAACTGAGCCGAGTAGGAAGCCTGGCCTTTGGTAAACTGTTTGTGTGATGTTCAGCTTTATAACTTGCCTTTCGCAGCGGGTGGTGGGTGTATTGATTCAGCCCAACCCACAGGCGAGTGCCCTGTGGGCTCAGACAGCCGGACCCTGAAAGCAGAACTTATGACGGCAAAGGCCATCCCATGGACCTTTTGGAAGCAGATGGATGTTCGATTAAACCGAAAAAAGGTCCAACGACCTGTGGCTTGTTCGTGGCCAGTACCCAAGTTCATGTGAAAATTTGCAACCATGGTTGGGCGGGATCTTCGCCGCCGGTTGCAAGCCCGTCACTGTCGAGCGTTCTCAGGGTGGCCTTAGTCGATTTTTGTCAGTGTTGCCTTCCGCAAGTGCTCACTTTCTGTCGAGGCACCCTAATTATGAATCCAATGGATTGATGCCTTTGCTAAGGCTTTGTGTGTTGGGAGGGTGGGTGGTCCTTTAGAATGAAATCTTTGGACTAGCGCGGTCAGCCGCAGTTGACAATAATGCCTTCAAGAGGACGTTCTCCCAGCACAGCGATTCCAGTGGATGCCAATTTTGGCACTTCTGTCAACCAGCCCCCGTGTTCTGTGTTTTGCCTTCACATGAGTACACCTGTCAGAGGAATTCGAGGGATGCTGGCAGGGCGAGGTGACAGATTAAGCATCGTGGCACACTCGAAAGCCAACAGCTTTGTTTCCGACCAAGTTTTCCAAGTGCTCGTGTCATCCATGTAAACTGGGCGGAGCGAGAAATACAGGGGCCATCTCGGGCTAAATTGGATCCCCTCCGACATCCTGGCCAGGAACCTTGCTGGTGTTGAATGGGAGCCTAAAGGTTTCACTTGTGGCTGCCAGACATGGATTTCGGCCCAAGCGCAAGTCTGCCTCCAAGTCTCCTTCCAAGATGGCCAGAGGCTTGGGAGGGCATGGGGGGAAAAGCACGACACTCACCCAAACCCAAACACGCCAAGGATTCCAAGACCACACTCAGCCCTTCTTGGAGCACCCCACCCCCTCACTGGAATCTTGGTTGGTGTGAAGTTCCAATGAGGGATGAAAGGGTTCGAAGGTCCCAAGTCCCTTGACTTGTCCCTTTGAGTCACAAAAGGGCCACAAAACAAGCTGGGAGCTTGCACAAAGATCTCTGGAGCCTTGGCCGGTGACTTCGCCTTGGCGGCCGCGATCCGAATCCTACCCAGCCGTTTTGCGTTGCACTTGTCTGGGTCTCGCTTTCTTTTTTGGGAACAAAGGCTAGGTGTATGCGGAGCCCCTTGGCCTGTCAACACCTCAAGCCATATCATCAGACCAGCAATTGGAGGCAGGGATTGGATCCAACCTGGGAATGGCGTTGGATTTGTTGGCTAAGTCGATGACCCTGGCACTTTGCTGAACTCAGTGCCTTGGCCCACAGGTTCATGAGGCTATGGGCCTGCTGGACCTTAGGGTTGCATGGGCGGTCGATTTGGCCAGGAATCGCTGCAGCGGCGCGCCTCACGGACCCACCAGCTGACCGACCCCTCAGATAATCGGGCGACGGCGCCCTGGATCGAAACGTGCGAAATGAACCAAGGTGGGTGTGTCGTTTTTTGGAAGTTGTTTTTGTTGTGGGTGGTTTCAAGGGAAGCCAAAAGGGAAGCCACCATTTTCCAGGTTGATCCCACGAGGTTCACTTGATGGGAAACGCCGGTGTCTTTCTATTGGTGTTGGGGCCCGAGGCTCCATGGTTGCTTCGCTGGGGAACTCATTTCATTTGTTTGGCATTCCGGAAGTGAAGCAAACCGTAGAAGACAAGATGTTTTGAGAGCACTCCCCGACTCTGTTGAAGGACCTTGTTGATTCAAACTGGGGAATGCCGGCTGGTCTGCCGGCGAGCCCTCCACCCTCTCGTGTGGATGAATGGCGTGTGAGATGCTCTCTTGCAAACCTTGTCTGGTAAACGATTGCCTGTACAAAGGCAGAGGCATGAGGCGGACGTTCACTGAAGTGGAGCCGGGATACACGTCTCATGGCCTTGACTAAACACCAATGAACACATGGTGGATCAGTTTTGTTCACACATCCTAGCGCCAATCACGCTAAAGGAGAACTCCCGCAGGCTCTCTCCCATTCGTAGAAGCCTTCAGGTCCCATCGGCAAGGCAGCAGCAGCCAAATTCATCGAGTTGATTCCGTCACCTCTGTTTTCAGGGATCACCGGGGCTTGCTACAGCAACTTGAAGCAGTCCTGAGTCTTTTGCTACTGTTAAGAAATCAGATCCAGCCCTGCGTGAGGAAACTCCTTCATGCCTTTGCACATCAATCGATAGAGCATGGCTTTGCGAGATCTTTTGCTGAAGGGGTGATTCGATCAGACTGGTGTGCAACAGCCCCCGCAGGCACTAAGACTCGCTTTCCGGCATGACTGTTGTTTGCTTTTGCGCTTGGCTGCCGCTCTCACGGTTTTTACTGGGTTCTGGCTCTGGGGAATCAACGGCCAATTAACTCTGCGTGGCTTCCAAGACCAAGAGTTGAATCACAAGAAGTTGCTCTTTCAACAGGACGCTTGGACACACATTAGAAGGACTGTGCAACTGAAGACCTGCTCATAGCTCCAACCTAACCTTACCTCAGAGAGTGTAGTACCAAGCACATCCGTCAGAGGGAAGGTGTGACATGTCCCATGGGACCAAAGGATTCAGATTAGTTTGCTTCAGAACTTTCAAGACAAGGCCACCTCTGTGATACCATTCAATACTCCTTCTTTGGGCACGCTAATTTCCACAACTGAACCTAGCAGAGGTCCAACTTGGCAAACAGCGCCAGACGAGGCAGTGCTAAGAATTCTTTGGTTTCCCGAGTTAAGTCGTGCGGTTGGTTCATAATACGATCCATCCAATCCTTCAGTAGCACTGGGAAAAGGAAATAATCACCCCCCGAAAACAGACGGCTTTCAGGGTCGCTTCCAACATGCGGTTTGCGGTTTCGTTGCTGTGGCCCAGGAGGTCTTCGTCTACCGCCAGCAGCTTCGGCAGGTTGGCGGTCTCACGCTTCCCAGGCGTGGTGCGGCAAGGGTCCGCAACGGAGTCCCTTCTCCGGAAGAGAATCCCGACAAATTCCACAGGTTCCTCCATTTCCCTTTTTTTGGGACGGGTTTTCCCTTTTCTGGAACGGAGGGCTGTTTTCAGGACTTGTGTGTTGTTGCTTCGACCAAGGACAGCCACAGCCTGAACCCAGGCTAAACCAACCCTAAGCCCACCATAAACCAGCACTAAACCATCCCGGTACCTAAAGCGCAGCCAAACCGACCAAGCCTCCACCCACCCATACAAACCCAAAACCGCCCAAAACCAACCGAACCCGCCTAAACCAACCCCAAACCCAAAGCCAACTGTTGATCTTAAAACGACGCCGCGGATGTGCCAGGGATGTTGGTGCATTTTGCCTGAACATGATGTAACATATAGCATTTTAGCACCGGGTGTCAAAACAAAACAATCCCAAAACAACACATGAAATAATCCGGACTTTTTTGGGACCTCCAAAAGTGACAGGGTGCCAATAACTTGCAACGGTTGAAGTGGAAGTCTAGTTAAGTCATACAGGGGTCCCGACAAAGGCTTTCCTGGCAGGAAGGCTTTGGCACTTGAGACTAAGGCTTGGGCTTTGGGCCATGGGTGGATCTAGCGTGGCCCTCTTGGTATGTTATGGCTTAGAATTGTTACGAGATCTTTGGCGTTGGCCCTAAGGACCTTCTCCAAACCACCATCATCTCAGAGACGTCTACAGATCTCAAGATTGATAAGATTTAGATCCGTGAAGATTCGATGATCGCCACGGATCCCAAAAGAAGCATCGCAAAGACTCCTCAAGGTCCCGAAAGGTAAAGATCGATCTGAGGATCTAAACAAGATTCTTACAGATCTTTGAAGACTCCCAAAGATCCGTAGAGATCCCAACAGATCCCTAAGGATCCCGAAAAGCTCAAAACCTTCAGGTTCCCACACACACTCCAAAGTATCCCTAAGATACCTGAAGATCCCTGAATGTGAAAAGATCACTAAAGATGCCAACAGATTCCAAAGGATCCCAAAGATCGCCGAAGATTTCTAAAAGTCCCCAAATAACCCTACAGATCATTCCTTCCTCATGCTAAATCTCAAAGAGATTGCCCTACACATTCCGAAAGATCCATATCCCTTGAGATCCATACAAATCCGTAAATGTCCCTACAAATCCCAAAGATGTGTATTTCCTGAAGAGTTCCTGAAAATTCCAAACGGTATCTGAAGATCCTAAAAGATCCACAAATATCCAACATGTGTGAAAACCCTTGAAACCCTCCAAAGATCCCTGAAGATCCTACAATCTCAAAGTAGATCCAAAAGATCTAAAGAGCCCAAAATCGATTTCTGAATCTAGGGCTCCAAAAGGGCAACGGCTTCCCTTTGGTGCTTTCAACTCCAAGAGTGCCAACTCAACGCAGGCCCGAGTCTCGCAGCTCGGAGGGGCCCAAGAGCTCGCACAGCATCAAGGACCCGACGGGACATGAAGGATGTCTCAACCAACCTCAACCTACCATTGCTTTTCGAACTTAGCTCAGGCCTCCTTCAAACATAGGTTGATATTTTCTCGGCCTGCGGCCTCTAGCCGGCTACACCTCTTTGAAGTTATACCATGTCATGTCATGCTTTTTGTATGAGAAACGTATCCTGTGCTCGCGCCAGAGGCCCCAGAAAGAGCAGCCCAAAAAGAGCAGCCCGCAAGCCAGCCCGGAAACGCAAATGCAACAAAACGCCGTAAATCGCAGCGTTTTGTGGCTGGGGTCGCGCGCACGCGCGCGCCAGAAGGCCCGAAAACCAACGGGAAAAAAGCAAGGACCGCGCAGCAAGCGAGCCAGCCACAGCAAAAGCAAAGCGGACAGAACAACAGCCCACCGCTCAGCACAGCAGTTTTTGACGGTATTTACGGCGTTTTGTAGAGCGAGGACCCAGCAGCGCTTGGCGCCAAAATGCGCGAAAGTGAGCCTCGCTTATATCCCTCCGACACCTTCTAGAAAACAGTGCTTCATGGGCTGAGAGGCTTTTTGGAAGGAAGTGTTGATGATGCAGACCAAGCGCCGCTGGAGCATCACCGAGGCCCAACCCCAGACGCTGATGATGTCAGCCACATGGCCTAAACCCTGCATATACGCGTCCCATGCATGTTCCCTTTGCTGGCTTTTTCAGTGCTCTTTCAATATTATATTCAGGGGTGCATTCATAAAGGCCTCATCCAATCCATTTGGTAGATGTTTATTTGGTCAGTGCTGCGCTTCAGACAGGTATGCCAAATGAGGACATTTTACACGTTGAATCCATTACCCAAACAATGGTGATGTACTTCGGCGTAAGATGGTCAGCTTGGTGTGTCCATTTACTGGCTGGAGCTCATGGCCACAGGGCGAGCAGCCCGAAAGTCAGCCATCAGCCGTCACCCGCACAGTTTGGGGATGCCTGTCTTTGAGGCCAACCCTTGCATCTTAGTGAAGCGATTGCTTTCGAAGTCTGACAAATTGCAATAGGACAAGTCAGGCTTGAATTCCCACGATGCCCCAGCTCTGGGCTAATGCTTCGTTACGGATGCTGGCTACCGAGTTTCGACATATTTGTAACCCTGGGCAAAGCCTATGCACCAAGCGTAGGTTGAACGAAGTCAGGAACTAGGAGGTTCGGAATCGATCGTGATTGTACATCATAACTGGAATGTACTGCATAGCCCTTGGCCACTGCAGGGCGGAAAGCGTGAAATGCAGATGACAGCCTGCAAAAACTACCAGCGGCTAACTTCATTCGTCAAGCTGTTTAGTGGCTGCTTACCCACTCCAGCTGTGTGCACTACGTACCTGGCCTACACTTTGGCCAGCAGAATGGCAGTCGTTTTACCAAGCCGTGCTCGCTGCCAACAAGCTTTCGCTTCATCTTGGCAATCTGCTTGTTGGGCCACAATACAATGAACTCGAGTCCTGCCACAGTGTGACAATGACTTGTTTTTCGCCACCTTTGGGTGAGCTGAGCTGAGTTTTCAGGGATGCCTACCCTCCATATTGCCTTGAGGATTGATGTTTTTCATAGGCAGCTTGCACCAGGACTTGGATGGCGTGGATGTGGACATAGGCTTTGCCGCTTGGACCCGGTTGCCCTGTCCGGGCTGGACTGCCTTGCCGCATGCCAGTGCACATTGCCCGGATGCATGAGGCTTGCCATTTCGACATTCCTGGTTTGTTGGTTTCCCACTTGCCACCATTGCTACAGCATGCCCGGGCGCGTGCTTGTCCGTGTGCTTACGTTTGTCCTTGGGACGTTCCTGCTCAGAAGCATCGGGAAAATACGGTAAGTCCCGCACCGTCACCGTTTGAACTTTGGGTGCGGCTCATGTCTAGAGCTTTGCTTGTCGAGGGCTTGCCTGGCAGCATGGTGCCTTTCTTGGGGAAACTCGGCCAAATGACTGGTCTGCCCTTAGCCTTGCAATCATGAAGGAGTGGAACGGGAAGCCGAACGCCGAACAGACAGGTTTGGTCTTCTGAAGGCAGCCTTTCAGCCATATATATATATATACATACATACATAAATACATACATACATACATACATACATGTTTGTGTGTGTGTGTGTGCGTGTGCGTGTTGTTTCGTCGTGAATATACTGGAAGGTTCCAGGCTCCAGGTGCATTTCTAGGTGAAGCAACGCATTTCGTCTTCGAAGTCTTTTGCTTGGTTACATTCCTGGTGACCGAACCAACAAACCATGCTCGGGCATCCAAGGTAGGGGTTCGAATCCCGAGGGTTCCTGCATTTTTCCTGTAGGGAACTAGGGGGAAAAGATGTCTGGGGACAGCACGGCACCAGGTCCAGAGAGAGAAGCTGCGGGTGCCCGAGCCGCAGCCTCCTGATCCACTGGGGCCGGTTCCGATGTTGCCGGAGGCATATGGGCTCGGCGGGTCGGAATGCAAGCCCGTTCTCCCAGTGCCACCTGTTGGTTTTTGAGATGCCCCTGAACATCAACATTGGGGATTTGAACCCCCAAACTCCAAACCACCAATCCACAGCATCAATTAATTGTGAGGGAAACTGAACCGAGCGGCTTCTGGAGTCGCGATGTAGCACGGGCATGGACCAGGGTGGCTACAAGCATTGCCAGCACAGTGGCTGAATGAAAGTAAGGACAGAAGTTGCCCCTGCAAAAGAGTGGGGGGGCCGCTTGATTTCTTGGCGGAAGGGCCAAACCAGCCCATCTATCAACATCCAGCTCCGCAAAGAGTGAGGTAAAACACATAGACCTCCCTTGGTTGGGGCGACGGTCTCCCTTTGGCCTTTTTTTTGGCCATGAGAGGTCACGCTGAGTTTGGCCACCTTTCCGGACGAACATGGGGTTGAGCCGCAGGTTGTTTCTTTGCTTGGAGACAAGAGAGGTGCCGCCGGCACGCCGCAGGGCATCTTTGGCCCATTTGTTTTTGCGGTGCGACTTTGGAGAAGCTGAGGCGATCTGTGTATGCATCATATGTACAGATGTGCATGTGCAATATCTATATGCATACACGTACACACACACACATACATACGTGTCTATATATACATATAGATATGCATAATGTTGTATATATATATATATGTGTGTGTGTGTGGATATACAACAAAAACCATGCGTAATAACCCTGCGTCGGTGGTGGTTTGATTCTTGCAGAGAGTGGTTGGCAAACCACCCTTGACGTCTGACCCAACCCAAACCACCAATCAAAGGGAGCTGATTTTGCCTGTGCCATTCTCGCTCTACAGCGGGGTGAAAGTAGATGGCATAATGTCATGTTGTTTTTTGTTTTTTGTTGTTTTTTTTGTCACCCTTACCAAAGGATCTGGGCCATGATGAGCATGTTTGAGGTCCTCTCGCGTTGTCCAGGCTATCTTGTCCCAGCGCTGGGCCAGCTCGGCGAACAGCCTTGCGATGTCCGGCCAGCCGCTGCGGCAGGAGGGTTGCGTGTTGAAAGTTACAGGGACCCCTGGAGTCGTACACAAAAGGAGGTGTCACCCACAAAAGTGGTCCGGATTCCAACTTAAAAATCAACATCCCCCGAAAAAAAAATAAGAAGGAAGAAACAAAAAGAACAAATGATAGAGGCTACTAACCCGATTGCAGATGCACAGCCCATGCAAAAGCATTCGCAAAGACACCCCCACTATAAACTAAACAAACGCGCACCCTTAAAAGCGATCCGCGCAAAACAAGTCCTTAACACATGCCCAAAACCATCCCCAAAATACTCTGCCAACGAAACATTTCCGAAGACATGTCCAAAAGCATATCCGAACACATTTCCGTAAACGCTCCCAAAATCAGCCCCAAAGACATCTCCCAAGACGCTCCTAAAAACTGCGGGAAACAGCCTCAGAAGATATGTTCCAAGACATATTCCAACCAAAAACATCCCCAAAGCCACCCTTGAAGACGCGACACAACGACGGCCTCTAAAAACAATCCACCAGAGAAATCGACAGTTTCCAAG